GGACTAAACACACACACACACACACACACACACACACACACACACACACACACACACGGGCTGTCTATACCAGAATGAAATTGCCGAAGTGGAAATTGAAAGCTAATTTAGTTCGGATGATTGGTGCTTCCCATAGAACCCCTACCCTATTCTAGATTCATTTTCTATCCCAGCTTTTAGTGTTTTTCAGCAAGTCTGTCTTTTCCTTGTCTTCTTTTTACGGCTCCTGGTAGGCATATCTTCTTAAGAGGAGGAACGCTAAAGGCAGTTCCAAGCTTAGGGGAAGAAGTTTCTTTCATGTGAATAAGCCTCATTGAACAATAAAGGGCTCCTAATGATGCTGTCCATTTTTAACTCCTCACCAAGGTACATTTTTGTCTGGGATGGTACTCAGAGTATTTATGAATCAATACAGCACAAAGCAATCAGACAGCGCAAGTCCCAGAGGTCTCCGATCAGGCAGGTGTTGAGCTCCCGGAAGGTCCAGGCTGGACAAACTCAGCCATGAGGCCCAGGAAGCCCAGTGCCCAGGACCCACACTACTTTTGGAGGCTTACAAAAATGTTTCCATTTCTTTTAGAATCAGAATTTTAAAAAATGAATATAACAACAATGTAACTACACTTATACCACTAAATTGTACACTAAAAATTAGTACATTTTATACTATGTATATTTTACCACAATGAAACAATGCAGAAGTGTTTAGAAAAGCTAACTCTAGTAAATGATAGAAACTCCTAGCTAAGTCAGGAAATGATGGTGGTAATATAACATTCATAAATATCTCAGAGCAGAAAACTTTGGCACCTATTATACTGAAAATTTTGTTTAAAATAGGGTGTAGAAGTTCAAAAGTATTTCCCAGGGGAAAAATGAGTATTGTATGCTTTAGTTTTGTGTAATAATATTCATTCATTTTTTGGCAATAATTTCAAGACTGTTAACAATAACAGGGTAACATAATATGGCCATAAAACATAATAACATAGTAAAATATTTAAGGAGACAGTATAAAAGAAGGGTGAAAAAATGGGTAATCTTTACAAAATGCCAATGAAAAATATAGTCTAAATATGTATTTCTTTAATAAGCTTTTAAATCCAAAGAGTTAATATAATCCAACTTGGATCATGTTTGTCTTTATACCAATGCAGTTGCAAAACATATTGTTTAATTTTTTTTTTAATGGAAGAAGGAGCCCGTGAAGGCAAAAATGGCTTAAGGCCTAGGAAAGTCACCATACTGTCCTGTGTCTGGGGAGTCCAAGGCAGGGACTGGGCCTGCTGAGGTGGCCCAATTCTGGGGCAATTCAAGGCCACAGCTAATTTTCAACCAGCACAAAAATATCAGTATTTTAACAATGCTATCTCCACACCAGCGCATAGAGGCTCAGTGAGTGGTATAGGACAGGCCAATCCTGCTGTTACTGCAAATAATTCTTAAACAGATGTAGCTTCTTTTCTTACCTATTACAAAACACTGCTTGGACCCCATGTGGTCAATTTGGAATGCATGCCAACTTTAAAACATAATTCTCTATTAAAAACATCCTCAGCTTTTTATCCCTGAACAGACCAGACATGCAACACTTTCTGATTTAAAGGTGCTCATATGCCTTCAAAGATAACTGAGGCAGCTCTATTTAGGAAAACAAGAGTCACTTCACACCTGATACAGACCAACAAGATGTACCCGAATGACAGCTGCACAGCTGGGAGGAGCCATTAACTTCCAAAATGCTTCCAATTTCATTGAGGGCTGGAGCGTCCGCCGTGGCCATCAGCCCAGCCCTTCTTTCCTGCTGCCTCACGGTTTGATTTTTAACACCCATGTTTAGAAACTAGGCAGCCATCTGTCTCATCATTTTCTCACCTTCTCAAGTCAATGGCTTTGATGCCATTGTAGAAACTCACTCCCATGGCCGCATCCTGGAGTCCGTCATCCCCCTACGTCTGAAATTCCAATGAATTCAGTACATCCCCTTGCTCATTACCTCCAGTTTTTCTATGTCTCTCTCTCACTCCTTCACGACTGTCATGGTTGTTCTTTTTTCTCAACATTCTTGGTCCCTTGGGTCCACAACTTCCTGAGTTTGCCTGAACTAATTATTTTCTTTACTCATCCTGAATGTATTCAGTAGGCACAAGTATGCTCCGCTCACTGGTCCCAGTCTTAAAGGCTCTCGTACCCTGCAAACAGCCAGCCATGGACCAGGCCTCTAATCTACCTTCTCTGAAACTTTTCCTCTATTTTGGGTCTTTGGGAAAAGGATGAGGAAGCTTTTAAAATAAGATAGCTTTCAACTGAAATTGCGTGAGCTGTAATAAACACGCAGTGTAAGAAGTGGAGTTCTGAAGGAGTAGCTTGCAATTCTCTTACCTCTCCTTGGAAACGATTTCACAGCTTTCTAATGGTCTGTATTTCCTTAATTATATTCAGAGCTATGGTGTGATAGCTCTCATTTTCTTTAAGCTTCCCATAATGCTGTCCCACTTTATGTGAATATGCAGTTAAGCAAATGTAAGAGCCCATAATATAAAAATTAATAAAGTCTCAATTCATGCAACAAAATTTGAAAGAGTATGAATGCAAATATTTTAAGATTGCACCAGAATTATATAATTGCAAAGGTGGTAGCCTGAGTGAGCGGTGAACTGTTTATGCTAAGGCCATATGGTAAAGTACTTTGCAAGTAAAAAATATTCTTCTTCACTTGTTAGTATTTTGTGAAGAATACACTTGTTTACATGTGTAATAACTTCAGTCACTATTCTGCTGTTAGTCAACCATCCACTGTTATAATGTAAACTAGTTTTGTATCCTAAAAGGATGTAATGCAAAGATTCATAAAACGGGGGTGCTGGGAAGCAGTGCTGAAAACAGATCTCAAAGTCAGTCCTTTGGCAGGGAAGCTGGAAGTGAATGAACACAACTCTAATAAAGCAAACAGTGCCACGGCATGCTGTGCTGTTAATGTGGAAATCAGCAGTGGAGAAATATTAGAAATAACACTGGAAATTAAAAGCATAAATATATATATAATACAATGGCTAAAGATTTATGCACTCTGAGAATACATCCCACATTCTTTATTTTTCTGCCTATGGGGAAATTAGCCCTTTGAATTTTGTGAGTTTTTAATTACATATTCAACTTTCTTCATGTAGAGATGGAACCAAATTCCCTGTATATAAGGGAATGAGCCTGAGTTGCATTTTAAAATAAGTGTTTGTTTCCTTGTGTGTTTTTTTTAAATTAAAAACAATCAGGCTAAAAAATGTAAAGATGAAGAAAATCAGCTGCAGTATCACCATTCAATGGCCAAATTTAGTAGTATTTTGACAGTTTCATTAGTTTTTTTCTCCATATTTTTACATTGTTTAGATAAAATAAATGTTTAATTTTGTATCTTAATGTTTTTCTTGATTTAAATGAAGATTTATCAAGACACTAAGATCTACAGATGTTAGAAGGCTTCAATAATCTCACCATATGATTATAGCATATTCAATTAGTACCATTTCCAACACTAAGACATTAGGCATTTTCCAACTTTTGCCATTATAAATAATCTAGTGATGAGTATCTTTGGCTTTTAAATCATTTTTCTTTGGGGAAATTTCTTAGAAGGAGAATTATTCGATCAAATAGTATCTTGATACATACTGCCAAATTCCTTTCCAGAAAGATTAAGACAACTTAAAATTTACCTGGCAACAGATAAAAAAACCCTCTCCCCATCTTCACCTCACAGAGTATTAAATTTATAAATTTCATTTACAGTTCATTTAGTTTTCCAGTCCTCTGAAATAGTAGTTATTCTCTTTTGAGATTTCTGTTTGAGTGAATGGTTACACACAACAATTTATTATCTTCTTGGAATCTCTCACGAGCTGCAGACAGAGGGCGGCTGGAGTCCAGGCTCAACCGGGCTGCTTGTGCCAACCCGGTGGCTTCTTCATTCATAGGCTCAGCCTTGTTCCCTCCTGGCCTTTTCCTCTAGCACAGTACTTTGGGTGTGTTACAAGGGGGCTCAAGGCTCCAAGAATCGGAAGCAGTTTTTTTATGAGGTAAGGTAAGTTTCGGTCTGAAACAGGGTCACTTTTGCTATGTTCTAGTGATCAAATCAAGGACCTGAGAGTCCAGATTCAAAAGGCAGAAACATTTGCATCTTGCTGGCAAAGTGGCCTGTGCTAGTAGGAAAACCCACTGTCTTTGGAGACCACCTCCCACAACTTCTCCACTGCTCTTTATTGATCTAAGCTTTTCCTCATGAACGTATTTTAAATGTGTGTTGCTATAGTAGTCGTATGCTTTTTTTCCTCTATAGTTTACTAACCAGTCAGTGCTGCTGTTTTTCATATGCTTCTTTCGTATTTACTCACCTTACTAAATGCTCTTATTTTAATTCTCAATTTAGTATCTTGGTTCTCCTAAGAGGATAATCATACTATCTTAAAATAAAGATAACTTTTTTCTCTTTTTCAACAATCAAATCTCTTATATATTGCACTGGTTAAGGCTTCCAGAAGATGCAGCCTTGTTCTGTCTCTGGAGTATAACTTTTTAAGTACAAGTATATTCAGGTTATAAACTGGGCATATTTTATCAACACACACATTTTCCAGAGACAAATTAAGCCACTTTTATGTGTCAATACAATACAAATGAATAGAAAGGCAGGTTCTTATTCCAGATAAATTAAATTCAAGGACAGGGATAACAAAAGAAGTTGAAGAAGAAAGTATTGAATCACTAATATGTTTTGGACACTGTAATATTTTCTCCCTGAAATCTATAAACATAAAAAATCATAACCATAAAACATTGCATTGACTCCCTCAAATAGCAAATATCTCTAAATAAATATAAAATATCATGAATCTCAGCAATTTGTCCTTTCTTCCTGAGCTTAACTACTTACACTTGATGTAAACAATAATTTTATGTATATAAACAAGTATTACAATATGGCTTTCCAACCCACTTATACTCACAAGTGGCTGATAGTCATACGGTGGAGTGTAGTCCTCAGTATATGTCGTCAATGAACACCTAAGAGGGAGAAGTCAGTATATGAGAAAAGAATGACTTCAAAAACAAAACATTTAAAAATTTTAGTGGTATATACTTAACATAAAATAAAAACATTTTAAGAAGGATCAGCCCTCATAAAAATTTAAAAACCCACAACTTCTCAGCCTTCTTTATAGCGCTACCTACCCCAGCAGGGTGGTCTTCCTTCATTCCCTTCAATTCAGCATCATCTACGACGATCCTGTGCTGATAATATGCTACCAATCCCAAACCATGAGCTCAGGTGCGTTCCAGACTTTTGGAATTCTTTACCACCCATTTTTTTGCTTCTCGAACCTTTTTAATTCTATGCCCATGTTCTCTGCTAGATGACAACTGACAAGATTAACAGAAGACAGCAAGGAGGACTAAGATAACATAGCTTCCCCAGCCTTCACCCCATTAAACACGCAGAATTTCGCATAAAACACATCCTACTTGCCCCAAGTGAACAAGCACAGCCAAGCTCAAAAGGGAATCCCTGAAGTGCTAGAAATGAAGAGTAGACTCATTAGAATGGGAAGCATAAGCTGACGCCCCAAGGATAGGGGGTTGGCGTTTGCGCTGCGTATCAAAGGCATAAGACATGGCCTGGGGGGGTTCCCAAAAGGCAAAGAGCTAAACCCCTATTCACAGCCAGGAGTCTGCGAAGGCTGGACCTCCATAGAACAGGAGCCAAAAAAACTCTAGTAACCAGTTCAGGGAAACTTGCCAGAAAGTTTCTTTCCATTTGAAACTGAGGGTGGGGGTAAAATCATTCTCCCATGAGAAATTGAAGTTCTGCTTCTATTCCCGACACTTTATGGAATGAAACAGTCAAAGAAACTCCTCTGAGAATTGCACACCTAAAGATACTGGGTAGAAGGAAATTTAAACATTTTAATACATGGCTCAGCTAGTGGGGTAAAGTAAGAGAGTTGAACAAATAAAAGAATTCCAATGCAAAAAGAAAGTCCAACTCAGAAGTTAAAGGGTACGGGTGTTCATTTTACTTGCTGATAATCACTAATTCCTGACCGACTTCCGATGTGTGGTTTCCAGAGGAGTAGCGTTAGCATGATCACGTTGTAGTGCAAATCATTACTCACATGTTTGTGGTGATGCTGGTGTAAACGCACCTGCTGTACGGCTGGTTGTGTAAAAGTATAGCACATACAATTATGTGTAGTATATAATATTGATCATGACAATGCGTGACTGTTACTGGTCTGTGTATTATCTGTACTATACCACTATTTTAAAGTGTACTCTGCTAAACTAAAAAGTTTTCTGTGAAACAACATGCTGTGTTAATGCCAGCAGCAGACTCATACTTCTTGTGATTGCATCATTTCCCCTTGTGCCTGATTCAATCTCATTTGATGGGAAAAAAAAACCCTGAGAACATCTAAGACTGGAGGATTTAAAACACTGGCTTCAAGAAAGAGGTGTGGGGTATGCAAGACCACAATGGCAGTCTTTGTAAGGCACCGCTTCTAGGGAAGTTACAGGTGGAGACAGCTGGCAAAGTAAAGAAAAATAAGTAATCAGGCCCAGAAATTAAAGGTCCTAGAACCACTACTTCCCTGCCCACCTCCCCACGCCCTGCAAAAAGATGCCATTAATGAAATAAAGTTCACTTCACTGTTCTAACAGAAGAGGGCACTCTTGAACTAAGATATGGAGGAAACTGCCCACACTTCTCATTTTTCCTCCATAGGATTTATGGTGGCTGCCAGTCCAGGAAAATTAAACATGCTTAAAATGTAAAGCAAAGGCAACATTACTTTGAGAATAAACCATAAATAAGAATCAAAACCAAGTTGATGAAAATGCTCTGCAGAAACATCCCTAGTCAGAGTGGTCCTCTACCAGCATTTCTATCCAACCATGTACTGGACATTCTAGCAAATGCAGTAAAGCAAGAAAAAGAAGCGTAAGTATAATAATTGGAAGGGAAAACCCCAAATTTTCATCATCCACAGATAATAAAACTGTCTACATTAAAAAATCCAAGAGGACCTTTGAGTCATAACAACAGGCATGTTTCTGGAAGGCTGTTGGATGCAAGACCAATACACAAAAACAGTGTGCCCAAAGTCAGCAGTGAGAAACTAGAACGCACAGTTGAAATGGAAAATGCAACGAAGTCTCTAAAATTCCTAGAGGAATACATGTCACAGAAGACTCATAAGACATTATGGGAAAAACAGGAAATTTGTTGAAGGACATAAAATAACTCCTCATTTATATGTGGGTGACTCAGTCAGTCCATGCTACACATACACGCACATGTGGGCACATGCATATGTATCCCTTCTAAGGGGCTCACAGTTTTACATTTGATATATAATGTAAATGATATACAGTGTACTGCTTAAATTATGATCTAAAACTTCTATTGATCAAAAGACACCATGAGCAGTTAGAAGAGAAGCCAGAGACTAGAGGAAGGTACCATAAAATTAAACAAAACAAGATTAGTGCCCAGAATAAAACATTCTTACAAATCAATAAAAAACAGAATCCCATAGAAAAATGGACAAAGTCTATCAACAGTCAATTCCCAGGAGAAGAAACATGGCTAATAACTATTTTAAGATAAATTTGGGCTTAAAATCCAGTCTTAAATTCAGTAATTAGTGAAGCACAAAGTAAAACAACGAGGTGCCATTTTATAGCCATTAGATTGGCATAAACTTAAAATGTCTATAACATGTATAAGGATATGAAAGAATGGGCACACTCACACGTTACCAGTGGCAGTGTCTTGCAAAATTGAAGGTGCATTTATGTTAATACCCAGAAACGCTATTTCTGAGCATGAAGAAACCCTTGCATCTCTATCCAAGGGAACATGCACACAGATACCTGGTGCACCCTTATGTGTAATAATGAAAATCTGGAAGCTAACCTCCACCAATAGAGTGGATATACTGGATGGTTATGATAAATATGGTAAATCGTTTCTCTTAAAAAATGTAAAGGAAATACAGTAAAAAACTGACTTACATTGTAAGTAGGTAATGAGTAGATAAATGGGTGTTTTGAGCAGTATAATATTCAAAAACATTCAAATGGAAGTACAATAAAAATATTCCATAATCTTAAGATGTTTGTGTTAATAGATAACAATGAACATGCTCTCCTACCTTATTCCTATCCAAAGCTATGACTTAAATGATGTGATTATCAGTCAAATACCAGAGTTTAGCTCTGGGCAGGCTGACCCTGCAAGGCAGCACGGGGCACCTCTCTACTCACTGAAAGCAGGCAGGACCCCTTCCCTCCACGCTCAGACCCGCTCCCTCTCCGAATATCACCTCCCAGCACGGTCTGGTACAAGTACTGAAAAATACTTATTGAGTGAATACAGCAATAAGAATAATGATAAAGAGATATAGATTTATAATGAAAACTTAAATAGAGGTGGAAATTAAATATTCAGTTATCCTTTTGAAAAGCAATGTGGCTCAACAAAATGGAAACTTTTATGATACCAAATGACTTTCAGTCAGTGAAACTCTATGTCTGCCTCTCTCCCCTTTTTAAATCTGAAGAACAGAGCAACAGTTTTTAAGTAATATGGTTCATCAGATTTAAAATAGGGTGGTCTTTTGAGAATAAAAATATTAAAAATTCAGCATAAATCTTCCTCTTAGATATCAGCTTGAGGCTATAATTGAATTAAAATGTATTAGAACAGAACATGTCTACTAGAAGAGAAATGGCCTTCAGAGAAACCTAGGAAAGCAGAAGGTGAGAAGAACAAGGGAGGTGTTGGTTTTAGGCATCGTCCTGAAGGAGCAGTGAGCTGGCTCATAAAGAGACCTCTCTGGTTCTGGGAGCAGAGGCGGTGCACATCACTGTGTTCCAGAACAGCTTGTGGCAGCCAGTAACGACTTCCAGTCGCTGTCTGGGACCACCAGCAGCAAGCCCGTGCCCCATAGCTCTGATTACCATTCCATCCCTCCCTGTAGCTATAGGTCCGAATATCAGCCTCCAGCCCATGTTCAGTCAGGGCTCTCCCATGGGATTTCTTAGCAGAGACCACTGGTCTCTTAGCAGAGACCACTCTGCTTTGATGAGAACTGTGTGAAGCGACACCCCTGTCCTCAGAGGGAGCAAATGATTCCAGCAGTCTCTGAGGTCCAACTCTTCCATGCATTTGCCTGGAGCTCCATGTGGTATTCCAGTATTTTTAAAATAAATTCCCCTTGGTTTGAGATAATTTGAGAACCTCCCCTTTTGTCCTGAGATAATGTGCGTGTCTGTCACAACTGAAAGAGTTCTATTATAATCAAGCAATCAGAGCCTGAGGTCATTGATTACTGTAATCATGTAACTATCCTTGCTCTGATTCCAAACACTCTGAACAACATTTTGATTATAGTCTGGCTTCCAATATATATATTTTTCAACCAAGAGAGACTTTTTTATCAGGCTGACATGACTGGTGTGCTTGAATATTTTATTTCTCGTTACAAATTAACTAATTAGAATGCTGGATTTTCTTGTGAGTTTAAGGATCACAAGTCAATCTTTATGAGCAGACGAATTCTGAAGCACGGATAAAAGGGAAGGAAGTGTAAAACTGTAGACAAGATTCTGGCAAATTCACCAGGATAATGCCACACTGTGAGGACACTTGGAAACAGTACAGCGACCTTCACCCAGCACCACCCACACTTTGCCACACATACCCTCTTTAACCTTTAACGGCTGTAAGGTAGAAAGCAAGTAGTGATTTTTGTAATATGAGAAAGGAAAAGAAGTCTGATATGAAGTTATCATTAAAGCCATGGCACTTGGTAAAATACCTACACTTGCACTCACACCAGTGGTAACTCATGTGAATCTATAAGATGATGCACTAAAACCCACAGAATCACAGTTCTTAAACCTAGAAGAGCTTTAGAGATCAATTGCTTCTTTTCTGTTTTCTCTGGAGGAGAAGCAGATATTTTCTCTACCAGCTTCCCGACAGCCAGGGGAAGGGC